ATAGTTTTCCATTCAGATCCAGAATTGCTGGAATTTAATCTAAAGTTGTGGAATATTGAAAATCTGGTTTTCTTGTGTGTTTTCTTTGAAAAGAAATACAGGAAGTACTATTTTATTGAAGTGGGGTGGCGCAATATTACGATTCGATACGGTGACGTATTACTGAGAAATTTGTATAGATTTGTTGAATTTTTATAAATTAAAACATCTAGATTATTAATTCATCTAAGGAGTCAGAAGTGGGATGAGCGAAGAGCAAAACACTTTTTAAAGAGTTTTGAAGATGTCTTTGAGTGGGCGAGCAATTGGGAGCCGCCTCCGAAACACATATATTGACTAGATTGGCATGGTACCGAAGAAGGAACTCGTTTAAAGTACCCGTTACGCCAAGCGTGTGTGAAAGTCCTAATGAAAGGGGAAGAGATGCGAGCTAGAGTTGAGTTGAGACATGTTAGAGTCCCGTTAAATAGGTTGCGTTGGCGTTTTGGTCTAGTGGTTAGTGACTCTGACTGCTACGCATGAGCTCGTGGGTTCGATTCCCACCCAGGACAAATAATTGTGTGATGAACAGGGTCATTTGTTTTGTGTCTGGGTGTACTTTATCTATAATATGTATGTATTTAGAAATATATAAGTATGTTTATCAGCAGTCTGGTTACCATAGTATAGGTTCTGCCTGGTTTGGGATCAGACGACCGTATGTGAGATGTCTGAAAAATATTTATTAGGCCAATGAGGCCTGAGTGTATGAACAAGTATGTATTTTTTCAATTTTATTGTAATATTAAACCTTACACATCTTACACACGACAGTCTAGTTCAAAACTAGGCAGAGCCTGTACTATGATAATGAAATTGCTGAAAAATATACTTATATATCAGTATACACTTATTTAATTTAGGTCAACAGTTTCCTTATGTCTCACGTAAGTGAGAGACCGCGAATATAGAACACTTTAACGTACGTTTTCGAAACCACTCATTATCTTGAAGTCCAAAATGTTTGTCCACACTTAGGTGAAACTCACAGCGAGTTACCAGCATATAAAAACATACTAACATAATAATAGCCTTCACAAAAAGGGGTGCCAACGACAAAGGGTGCACATGAATATTATTAACAAGTCGTTGTTAAGCCTCTCTCGAGTTCTCCTACTTATGTTGTTTTATGCGAGACTCACTAACATTCCTAATTCTGTATTATACATGTTTGTAGCGGATCATGACTATGTTTTAACTGGTTTTCGGACTTCTTAATTAATTATTAGAAAAGCTTTTGAAATATTCATGAGCTTCCTGATTGTCTTAAGCTAAACAGGGCAAAGATGGATGATGGATGCCGATGGATGTGAACACCACAGGACCGGTTATTGTGACGAGACTTAGAGGATGTTCTCGGACTCCTCCTATTTCCGGCTTTAGGTTTAGGTTTTAGTCGGTTCGATTCCGACACGCCGTCCCGCCGCAAAACCCCAGTGGGGTGAGGGCAGGAAGATTTTTCCTCTCGTAAAAAAAAGGGATTCAGCTGAGATGATAAAACAGGGCGTGGACTAATGGCGAGAATGATTAGTAATATTAGAATAATTTGTTATTTCGCCCAAGTCTAGAACAAACTTTCGATCCTAATTTCACAAGTCTTATTTTTCTGTCAGACAGAGACAGTAATATACTAAAATGCAGCCTTCAATTCATAATGTACAGTTACAGATGTGTGTAACTTTTTAGAGTAAAACAGTTTTGAAAATTGAATTGTCTGATTATTATAGGAAAAAGAGCCTGCCAATATAGTTATAGCAATAACCTTTCTAGTGTATTATGAAAAACGTAGGTAAATATTTACACGCAAGTGAAGCCAAAATACACTTAACAAACAGTCACAGTTAATAAAATATAAATATTTTTAGACTATGTTATTTTATAAACAAAATAAATTTAAGAAATCTTGGTCGGCATAGATTCACAACAACGGAACAATCTCTAAACATGAAATACAATTGGTCCACTACATTGGCCTAGAGGACAATAAACTGTCAGTTCTCAATTTTTCCTCTCGAAGTTTTCCTTCTGCATCAAAATGAGTTATTTTTAGTTTATGAACCGGCACAAATGTGTGTAGTGATACCACGGCCTCACAGAAAACAATTAAATAAGTGTTAGGCAATTTTTTTATTGATTTTACCGAGTAAGTTAACTGGAGTCCAACCACCGCCCTGATTCTGGGCCGAGCTTAAAGGGCAGGAACACATTCTGTAAATCTTGAGCAGCAGATGTCTGTGGGCGGCGTTTGTCTGTTACCATCAGGTAATCTGTCTGCAAAACAAAATGATGATTATAGTAACCCATATTTAATTTTATAGACCCTTTCAAAAAGACATCTTAATAACAGAACTAGCAAAAACAGGTGTCCATAACAAAGAGAGCACTAATTAAGTCATATTTGGATCTATTCATATCGTGTAAAGTGTAAAGCAAAAATTTAAGAAAAAAAATATTAAAAAGATGTACTTACATAACATCGCTATAGCGTTGAAATTTGGCCTAAGTCAAAGTTCAATATTAAAGGACGTATACTAGAGTGTAAGCAACGCAAGAAAAAAAAACAAAGAAGGTAAAATAAGACAAGACAAATAATACAATATGGCGTTACACCAGTAGAGAACTTCTGATGTATCAAACGTGAAATTAAAAATGTAAAAAGGAAAAGACCAACAGTAATAAAGAAAAATACTCTTAAGAAAAATGAGTAGTTATTAAAAAGTAGAGACAGAAAATAGAGAAAATAGAAAAGCAGAAAAAAATGTTAGTAGGTTCAAGTTAGCAAAAGTTAAATTTGATTTAGTATGGTAACACTGACATCTATGTCAAGGAAAACAAGTGAAACAGGAAAAACGATTTAAAACTTGCCTGTTTTTTTAATAATAGTTTAATATCTGCTATAGTTTAATTTCTATCAATAACTTTTATAATTTTGAGTCTAATGTACTTTGAATTAATCTTTGATGTTGTATAATATTTAAATACCTAGTGCTTGATTGTGATGAACTAACAAAGTAGAATAGTAGTAATTGTAATTAATTAAACAAAAAGTCTCACTATTTTTGTAAGTATGATATGAATTATTGTCCGGACAGAATTAATATTACAATTCAATTTAAAATTACAAATACTTTTAATAAATCCTTTATCATTGGTTAGTCAAAATATGCAAGATCTACAGTGCGTACACACATACATACACAATTGCGTCATTAAGTCACTTTTTTTTAATAACTTCACACATCTCAAAAAAGGTACTTTGAACCCAAACTAGGCAGAACCTATACTACTTTAACTCGACTGCTGATAAACATACTAAAATATTTCTAAATACATACATATTACAGACACAGAACAATTAACAGAAAAGAACAGAAATGTGATCGTGCTCATCATATTGTTATTTGTCCTGGGTGGAAATTGAACCCACGACCCCCGGCTCACTGTCAGCAGCAGTCACTGTTAATAAACAGTAGATCAACAGATCCGTTAAAATATACAAACCCAATAATAGCACGAACGAAACAATACTTTCTTTAAACTTATTTTTCAAGCAATCTCGGGCCTTATTCCCTATCGGTGAAAACTTATGAAGGCATTCCCAGTGTATACATATAGTTAGCTGGAGCTGAGCAAGATGAGACGAAATGCGAATAGTTCCAGATAAATCTCTACAACTCTAGCCAAGCTGAAACAGCATTGAGATAGAGGCAATACAAGATAGGTATTTGTAAAGAGAAAGTATCTATTTACTATCATCGGCTTACGTGTATAAGAATCTTGCTTCTGAAACGATTCTAAATGAAAAGATTTTGTTTCTTGATTGAAAAACTTACTGAGTAGGTATCTTTACTATGTTGTCCAGGTCTTTTATCATACGGCTTTTTTTTTTCTCACTGACTTCAAATAAAGAGGAGGTTCTATGTATTTCTTTTATGTTTAGCGATATTTCCATCATCTACGGACCGATTTAAAAAAAAAAATGTATGAAAGTTGATGCAACTATAATGGTCCCGTTATTAGAAGGCCCAGATTTGATGGTATCTGAAGAAAAACGAGAGAGAACCTCAAAAATTAAGGTCATAGGATTGCAGGGTTTCCTTTTTTGATGTGATTTTTAAATTTTGAGAAACATTAACGTTTACGGTGTGGAATATTATTGTTACTTCGTAAGCGACTTCGCGAAATGGAGAATATATTGCGTTCGGCTGTTTGCGTCTGTTTTGGGTAATAGGTAAAAAGAACCCTTACTGAGCTCTTCGTTGTCCATCAACCTGTCTGTCTGGTTGTCATAACAAAGATAGTAGCAGGAAGGTATCAAGTTTAATTTAATATCAAGAAATAAAATGAAGCTTACCTCCACGTACCCAAGAAAAATGATCTTGACAATCCGATAGACAGACGGAATGCCGTATTATTCGATTAGGGTTCCGTTTTTACTTTAGAGCAATGGAACCCTTGTAAAAGAGCGAGCAAAACTTTTAGATGCTGCATGATGCAGATTTTAGACTATTTTCGTCAAACAACTAAGACGTTTTGCTACAAATCTTACTTTAAAATACTTTATAGATAAACTATTTGTGACTTTTTTACTAAATTACATACAATAAGTCCTAAACGCCACCATTGGTTTGGTTTAGTACTTATAAGAAATTATTATAACACTGTGATACACTCCACTAATCTTTGTATCAAACGTGTATAATTTGAGACAATTATACAGTAACAACAAAGTTCCTTATAAGATTGACTAACCTGAAAAATAATCGTTAAAAAATGTTGTTTACTATCATTTAAAACAATAAGTAATTGTTATACTTTAATATTTACAATCAACATTGTTGTTGTGATACGGTGACGAAGACAAATACATATATATACACGGCTAATATCTCCATCCTCAGTTTGTGAAAAGCATGTAATTGGACAGTGCGTTCGTTTTAATTGGAATATACAAGGAGAAAATGGTAAAAACAACTATTTGATTAAGTATATAAAGTAGATTAAAAATTCAAGGTTTATTATTGCCTAAAAATACTGAGCGTAATACTGAGCTGTATATAGCGTATTTTGAAATTTGTGGATTTCTTTCACGGAATAACTCAGGCGGTTAAGTATGTTTAGTTTTAATAAAGAAGAATAAAAATTCAAAAAAGAATAAAGAGCACGGAGTTTTTTTTTGGAGGTCTTTTTTACGGTGATTTTCTTTTATTTTATTGATGAATGTGTTCTTTTAATATTTTGAAACTAGTGTTGAGTTATCACATGCTAGGTAAATGATTATTTTGGCTTTTATCATTTTTATATTAAATAATAAAAAAATGCATAGTGTAGACTGTGAGAACAGTATTGGTCAGGAGTATATATGTGTAATGTAATCACATTGTTAATCTATGTGGGGGTTTAAAACTCCAGTCGGAAGTAATAAATCCGGGTCACAAACCTATTACCTGAAATGCAATAAAATGCGATCTTAATTGTTTACGATCGTCGTTGTGTATATTTTCTACAAATTCACAATTTACCGAGTTTTAGTAATTCGTATTACCTCCATCTGCTGCCAAAATTGTGGTTAGACATTTTGTTATGCAGTACACAAATTTTCTTAGATGATATTGGGGTACATTCTTCCATTCTTCTGAGAGAAATTTTCAACTGCTAAGCATTCTCAATTGGGTTCAGGCTCCTCTGAGGTATCTTGAGGCCAAGAGTTGAAAATTAAATGATTAAGGATAATTTAATTTTCAACTCTTGAAGGTAGTAACAATCCGGCCCGGTTTTATTGCTCTCGAGGTTATAAGCCCTTCTTAAACTACTCTCAATCCACGAAATTTTAGCGCTTTCAGCTACTTTAAAACTAAACAGAACCTAAATATCACTTAACACCTTCTTAAAGCCTTCACACTTAATAGAATTAATTTCTAAAGTTATGTCTCTATGAAACCAAAAAGGGGAAAACTTACAAAAGTATTTTATGAAACCTCATCAATTTTGTAGACAATGGAATAACTTATAGTTAAGCCTTGTTTAGAAACTTCAAAACCCGTGAATTTCAATAAAGCATAGAATTTAGGTATTAAATTTTTAAATACAAAAGTACTGTGGTGAATGTTTTTGTTATTTAGATGATATTAGTTGTAGAAAAATTAATATGCAAATATCTCGATGTGTACATACCTACATTGTGTATGTACATACCTCAGTTATTCTCACCCACCATCGGTAGTTCCTAATTCTAATGAAATAAGTAACTTTAGGAGTTATTTATTGATTTTAAATCTTTTAACTTTTTTTTTTGGTTTACTAATAATACGTCTTAACAGAAAATCCTTATAGCTTCACCATGACTATCTGTCTGTCATTCCGTCCGCGCTCGACTTAGCTTAATTTGCATAGATATACTTACATAACCATAGTGCACGAAATAAAAGCAAAGACCTTTCTAAAAATAGTGCTTCTTCCTACATCTAAAGGGGGGATGTTTTTTTTCGATTATCCCGTACGGTATCGTTGCAGAGCTCTTCCAGAAGCATTAGAGGGTTTAAAGACTATTTTTTGATTCAGTGATCCGTTACGGAAATAATAAACTTTAAAGTGCTAATATAATAAACAACGGAACCCTACAATACGCATGGCCCGTTTCTCAAAAAGAACAAAGGAATCCTTTTAGAATCACTTTGTAGTCAAGACCCCTTTTCTCTGATACGAGTACGTCTGCGGTCCCTTAAAGCTGTAAAACAATATCAAGCTTCTAAGTCAATTGAAAGTTACAGCCGGTTAAGACTTTACCGAATTTAATATTTCCCAAGTAAACGCAAAAGTATAAAGGAATGAAATTAAATCATCAAATTAAACAAGGTCTCACAGCACAACAGTATAGTCGTGTAAAAAGCTTCAAATTTTCGAAAATCGATGGCCTAGCTAGAAAAAAATATCAACGTACAATTCTGTTACTTAGGTACGAAACCCTAAGTAATCGATTCAGACTCGCACTTGTCCGGACTTTTGCCCATATAGTTTTTAGGGTTCCGTACCCAAAGAATAAACCGGGAGCCTATTAGGTACTAGGACTCCGTTGTCCGTCCGTCCGTCTGAACGTCTGTCACAGATGATGTATTTATGTTGCCGCTATAACAACAAATACTTAAAACAGAATAAAATAAATATTTAAGTGACTCCCATATAACAGACATGTTTTTTTTGCCGTTTTTATAGATTGAACCCTTCATGCGCGAGTCCGCCTCGCACTTGGCCGGTTATTTTTCTCCTATAGTATTATATCAAACAACAGCATAATTATTATTACTCTGAATTCGATAATATTATCATTTATAGATAAAGAGAAACACTATATTAGAGAAATATTATTTACGCATTTGTCAGTAATAAACAGAGAGTTGCAAGACACGTATTGTAAACAAGAGTGACTTAAAAACTTTGATAAAGTGAGTGTTTATCACGCTTCAGGCCTTTAGACAGCGTTTCCAAACTTGGTTTTCTACCCGTGGGAGTTATTATAAACTAAAATGTGGACAAATTTAATGTTATAATTAATTAAGAAATAAAATTAGTGACAATGTGTGTGTTGTTTTAAAAACTATGAATTTTAGCCTTCGATCAACAATAGTTGCTATTGATGATCGAAGATTTTAGCGTTAAAATTTTCTAAGACATAAATATATACATTTATATCGTGGGCAATTTTAAAGCTAAATACCCGAAACGAATTAAATAGTCGTGACATACATTTAGTTTAGTTAATCTAAATTCTCTTAATAGATATTTCAAATAACGATTGCAGAATATCGTAGTTAGATCACATTAACCACCAAAGGTCACCACAGGTTCACACTGTCATAATGACACTGTTAGTGTTTAGGCACTGGCAATTTTCAAAAGAATAGTGAATGGTAAAATAAAAAAGCCTTACAAAAATTAATCATCCATTTAAAAGTCGGTGGTAATCTAATTAAGACTATTGACTACTAAAGACCATTGTATTTGTAACACAAAAATAATTAAATTTAATTATACTGTTTTAGATGGAGAAAACGGCGTTATTCTTCGTCTTATCAATAGCGACGGTCCTGGCAAGCCCAGTGATGACCAGACAGGGTCTTCTGAGACAAAAGACACAAGACACTTTCTGCGCCTCACTATTAAACTTTAACAACTTTTACTATTCTTTAGAAGAAAGCAGGAATATCACAGGAATACCGGCAGACATGAGTATTCACTGGAAGACGGGGAAGGTATTCTTCACTTTAATTAGCGATGAAATGAAGATGAGTCTCCAAATAATGGAACCGAGCGGAGAATTCTCTACAATCAAAGTGGCCGGTCTGGGCCAGTCGACTTGTGTTGATAACCTCAACGATATTGTGTATTTGGCTACTGATAACGGCGTTTATAAATATAAAGATGACGGTTCCATTGAACTCTATACAGCTTTGGGTGAAGATGTTATGTATGTAGCGGTAAACAGTGATGGAACGGCCATGTATATTGCCACGTGGCCCCAAAACCGTGTTCACAAAATAACTAACGATGGTCAGAAACTAGAAACTTTTTCTGCCATCCCCAACGGTCATGGTTTAACAGTGGATCCAAGAAATAACATTTACTTTGTTGCCACTAAAACCTCCTATATCTTGAAGAATGGGTACACCATACCTATCAAGATCAAAGGTTTGCCAAGCGATAAAATGACAGGTGTATTTGTAACCAGATCTGATGAAGTTTATGCAATGGATGAAAATAGCAATTTGTATCTTATTGATCCTGACAATACAAGTGCCAAGCATCTAGGGTCTTTTAGGGTAAACGGTGTTAATACTTTTGCTATGGATTCAGTTGACAATGTCATGATTGGAGTTAAGGGAGCCATCTTGAAATTCAAAGCATACGAGAGAAGCCCTTGTCCATCTGCGGAAAAGTGAGCTCCGCCTGTAATGTTGTGACTAAAATGCGTCAAGTGTCTTAAAACATTTATCGTTGGTTTTATTTTTAATAACGTGAATAACAATTGTTTCTTGTACTTGTTTTTCTTCCTTATCTTTTCCTTTCCTATGCTCTTGGCAGTAGCTTTTTCACCGACTACAAAAAGGCTCCTCCTTTATATCAATTTGGTTATCAATTCGGCTGTTATTGTTTCTTAATGTATGTTCGGTCATAACTCCGTCATATATAGACAGATTTAAAAATTATTTTTTTGTTCGACAGAGGTTTATTCCGAAAAGGTCCTATTTAAATTTCATATAGATCTGATGACGAGTTTCGGAGACAGACAATGGAACTCTACAAAAATCACATCAAATAAACCGCGATTGTTGCTAGGTTTTTGACGTGACAACGTCTTATAAATTGGTTTGCCGGGTGACACTTCAAGAAACTGCGTTACGCTCCGCTCACGTTATGCGCTCACAATGAGAGCGAGTGAGAGGCACGCGTCCCTTCCAATCGGGCATGGTTAGCCCGCCTAAGAGCGAGAGAGACAGACATAGTCGTTGTCACGTAAAACTTTCGCCCGTATACCGACTTTACAGGCAACCAATTTTTAGTGCTCTTTGTTAGTATTGTTTGAAGTCGGTTCAACTTTTTAAAGGATTTATCTTGTAACAATTACCTGTCCAAGTAATAAAACAGTTATGTAACTAAATTGGCATTTAGGGTACTTTGTTAATTATCATTAACCACCACTACCCTTTTTGTATGTCCTACCCCGTCTTTTGTAGAGTGACCGACGTCCACACAAAAGAGTCGCTCTTATTCGTTGATATTTCTGCCACTCCATAATCTCTTGAAAAAAAAAACATGTATTACTGAAAAAAAAATGGTCTATACTGACATCCGATTTAATGAACTGTGAAGCAAATTAATAGGTTGTCTTGGCTATCTATAACAAGCTGTGTACATAGTTGACAACTGTTATATTCCGCAGTGGAGATATATTAGGTCTTTACCTATAAAATTGCCGTTTTGTATGCAATAAGTGAAAGTACTTATTTTTTCAAACTTTTTTATTTCTGTTATTCGAAGTAATCACCCATGCAATCGACGCATCTTTGCCAACGCATTGGCAGTTTATTGATGCCCTTCTTGTAAAAATCAGCTGGACGGGTGGCAACAAACTCTTCAAAGGCATTTTGTACTGCCTCTCGGGAATTGATTTTTTTACCCACTAAAAGTTGTCTAAATTTTGGAAAAAGTAATAGTCGGTAGGTGCAAGGTCTTTTTACTTTCACTTATTGCATACAAAACAGCAATTACATAGGTAAAGACCTAATATGTATAAACAAAGAAAAAAAAAACTTCATGATTTTCTTTGCTTACTATATCATTTCAGAGTTAGCAGGAAGGGAAAAAGGCACAGTAAAAAGAGAAAGCACAAGAAACACACAACTTCGACTACTGAAGCCAATGAAGAAGATGAAGAGGAATAAATAAATATTAATCAACATTTAATGCAATTTATCATTCACTTTTTGTTTGTTTTGTTACTTTATTTCATTTTAATAAGTTAAACCTGTTGAATTTAAAAATAAACTCAATACCTAAAATGTTAATTCGTTTAAGTGCCCTCTATTAGAAACTTCCTATACTACAACGATATTCTCCCAACAAAATATGCCATCTTTGTAATAAACTTTTTAACACAGAGTATAACGGTACCTTTGGGCTAAGCCTAAAGATACAGTTATCCTCTGGAAGATGGCAGTGAAATCAAGTTAATTAATCATTTTATTAATGACCTTTTAACAATAAAGTGCAAAATTACCAAAAATTATTGCTATCATAAATAAATCCATCATACCCACTTAAAAATCTTGCTCGTAAGCAATAAATGCAGACGTTGTGAGAGAAATTTGCCAGCGAAAATAAAACGTTTCAAATCAGTATTGCTAGTAAGTTACTTACTTCGTAATGTGGGAAAATAAACTGTTGGCTCGAAAATGTTTCAGATAATAATTTACTAATTGAACAACATATTCAGGTTGAGTTTGATAATTCTTAATCCCGTATCAACAGAATTTAATAGTCCACTTCTGGGAATAGGACTCTCCTTAGAATGGAGGTTTTGACTTATTATTTAGTTGGTATAGAGTTTCTTTCAAGTTTTCCTGCGTAGTTTGCTCCCTTAGTCGACTCTTACGACACCCATGAATCCCGTATTATTGAAGTGGAAATTTTTACAAAGTCGCGTAAGCTGTAAAAATGTTTTACAAAAACAGATCAGAGAACAGAAAAACTATTAAATAGGACGCACTAGACATTTAGAACGCACTAAGCACTTTCAATCTATGTCTATGGTTGTCTCCGGTTGGAACTAAGTTCGTAAAGCGTTTTGGTAAATGTTTGCTATAAAGTCGGCAAAAAGTGTCTGTATCACTGTCTTCAATTTTTTTATTCAAAAGGCACGATTTTCAATATTGTCGAACAACAATAAAAACATAGAAATATTATGTATATTGCATGCCTCCCTTAGAGTAAAATGTTGTGTTTGTTCTTTTTCTTGTTCAAGATAAGTTAAATTGATAAGAAAAGGAATAAGTCCAGTCTGCATGTAGGTAGTACCTGTTTTATTTATATATTTGGGTTGGTCACTTATATAAAACCAATAAAAAACTAGCACTATTTTTATATGACTCTTCAAATAATTTTTCAAAAGTTTTATTATCTATTTTGTATTTAACACAGTATAGGCCGTGTGGGCCTCTGTCTTTGTAAGTAAAGATTTAATCATTCTTTTTATTAAACCAAAACAAAATTTGTAGGCCAATCCTCGTAACAAAAATTCAGTTCCGATCAACTCTCAATCTCGCAACAACTGCCATAAAAGGTTTGTTTTTCGTAGTAAAATAGTAAACTATTACTAAGACTAACAGATTAATAATTTAATTTTCGGTTACATTAAGATAATATAATCACACTACAGTCAACGTTGGATGTTTAATACCTTACTACGATACGTTTTATGACAGTTGTGAGATTGACAGTTGTGAACCGAATTATTCTCAAATGTTTTCACGAAAATTAACCTTTCAATTATATAAGAATCATACTATTACAAATATAAAACACAGAAAAAATTAATTTAGAAAACACTTAAAAACAACATTTTTAGTGGTAAAATTGCGTTTTTAATGGCAACACCAGTTTGTCCTCCAAAGCAACCTACAATCTTCCTGTCACTTGGTTCATTCATCTAAATTGTCAAATTGTCATACGCGTCGGCGATGTGTCAGTGAGCGATCGTTAGATAGTGCGATATTTGTGTCGTAAATGTGGTTCGATTATGTGATAATGAGAAGACACGCGGTCTACTACATTATTATTAAGTGATGCATGTGTTTTAAGTTTAGTTTCGTGTTAAAAAACGTTGTTTTTATTTGTATGTCATCGGACTCTTCAATATGGCGGCTCCTCGTCACAAATCACAACAGAAAAACATTTCTTCGATATTTTCGAAGTTACATGGAGCGTTTTCAGATGCGGTATGCCCCACAAAGCTTGCAACCGATAAGAGGACTTTAGATAAAACTTGGAAACTAATGGATAAAGTTGTGAAACTGTGTCAACATCATAAGATGAACTTGAAAAACAGTCCACCATTTATCCTGGATATTCTACCGGATACATATCAGCGGTTACGCGTTATATACTCGAAATACGAGGACAATATGCAGGCGTTGAACAGTAATGAACATTTTAACATATTTATTATTAATTTGATAAGAAAATGTAAGCAAGCCATTAAGTTGTTTAAAGAGGGAAAAGAAAAGATGTTTGATGAGAACTCTCACTATAGGCGTAACTTGACGAAGCTTAGTTTAGTGTTTAGCCACATGCTGAGTGAGTTAAAGGCGATGTTCCCTAATGGGACGTTTGCTGGTGACCAGTTCCGCATAACTAAGAGTGATGCTGCAGAGTTCTGGAGGAACAACTTTGGAAACAGGTAATTTTAGTTATTAAAAACTTTTAGTTTAAACATGTTTTCAATCAAAAGTAGCATTATTTCTTGTAATGTCAGATAATTATTGACAGTCTGTGGAAATAACTTCACCCATTTTAATTATTGGTCAGAAAAATATAATTTTCTTTAAAGTAATGCTTGCACCATTTAGTTTCAAAGAGTAAAAGAGTGTGTAGAAGTGGTTAATAATATTTATTTGCAAAATAAGTTTGTGATGTACAGACAGACAAGACCATGTAACAAGTATTTACCAAGTTTATTTTTAGGAATTAGTTTCCTATACTAAACTGAACAAGAACTGAAGCATGAACTAAGTAACTTGCAATGCTGATCAAATATAGAAAACCAATCTCAAAAAATTAACATACAAAATCAAATATCCTGTTTATTATAACGTTTCCAGTAAATATCTGCATCATCAACAGCCTTTACTAGTCTACTGCTGGACAAAGGCCTCTCCTTAGAAAGGAGGTTTTGGCCTACTATACCACGTTGGCTAGACGGGTTGGTATAGGGTTTGTGTCAAGTTTTCCTTCTCTTTGCAGTGTTGTACTGCATAGTTTGCTTCCTTAGTCTTCTCTTACGACACCCACGGGATGAATAGGAGTGGTGACACTCTGTATTCTTAATTTTACATTACAGTGAAGTACTTTAAATCTATATTATATGCAAAAATTGGTAATACTTAATAGATAATTATTGGAACAAAATTCTATGGTTGTCATATATTTTGTAAACATTATAAGTAATGTAAAACTCGATGGTAAATCTATTATAAATGGACATTTGAATTTTGTTTATTTTTCTAGATTGAATTAAAGAAATTGTGTACCTGTAAAAAACAAAATAAAAAGGAAATTTACATGTCTCATCATATTGACTATTTTATGTACATTATAAAAAAGTTGAAATACACAACACAGTTCAACAATAGGTAGGCTTCTGTCTCCATTTTCATTCCAAAAGTCAAGTTCCAAAGTTATACATATTGTTCATAGATCAACATACACAATAGCAACAATTTCTGTTTTGTCTAATAGTAAGCAAATTAATTAAATAAAAATTAAACCTATACAAAATCTATGATATGCCTGTGCCGATCTACGACAGCCCGTTTCCAAGGGGCTTATGAGTAGAAAGGGCAAACAAATTCATGGCTACTCTTTTGCAATTTACCGATAGATACAATGACATTATTAAATGTACCACAACATTGTTTTGATGTGTGCCAGTATTTCCATTATTAAGGACTAAAAGGTAAAAAGACAATGAAGAGAAAACAAGATTAAGAAAAAAAAATTAATAAAAGAGAAAATGAAGTAAAACATAAAAAATAGAAACAAAAAAGTTTGAATGTCGGCAGCATAACCCCACAGTAGAATACTGTACGACATAATTCTATGAAAATAACTGAAGGAAACAAGTTGTCAACTCTTGAATTTTTCTTACTGCGTTTGCTGCTGAGCTGAGTCTACTTAGAATCTAGGGTTATACCTCAAAATGTCCCTAAAGTCCTAAAAGTGTCCACAAGGTCTAACACGACATCCTTAATCATCACAGGAGTTTTCACTGGCTTGACGTTTGGCGTAGTGAAACAAATACACTTAGCTTTTTGTTCATTTAAAAGCAATTTGTTGAAGTCAAACCAATGAACCACTTTCGAAATGGTTTACCTGTGTGAAATTAGTTAGTGTCCGTTTAGTCTAAATAATAGTAATGTATTTTCTGCAAACAACACAATCTTGAGATTGTCCTTGACAAGGTGAGGTAAGTCGTTAATATATACTAAAAACAAAAAAGAGCTGAGAATAGATCCATGTGGAATGCCCATTTCTACCACAGAGCCTGGAGACGGCTCACTATTAATATCAACTTTCTGAATCCTATTATATAGATATGAAGCAAGAAGTTCCAGTGCTTTATTTTTGATACCATAGTGCTATAATTTCCTGATCAGCCTTTCATGCTGCTTAAGCTTAAGATAAATCGCAAAAGATACCTAGAGAATCGTGGCAGGCATCAAATATATGTTTTACTAGCTTAACACTGATATCAGTTGTGGAGCGACCCCTTGTGAAACCAAATTGTCTATTGTGTAATAAATTATTATTATTAAAAAAGCTTTGCAATTGATCAAACATAATTTTTTCAAAAATTTTCTAAATACTGGTAGTACTGAGATAGGTCTAAAGTTATTTCGGTATGATCAGGAAATACACCACTATCAACACATTGATTAAATGTAAGTGACAATTGATTAGCCACATGTCTTAGTAAATAATACAGAATTTCCCCACAGGTTGGTTATTTTTTAACATTAATAGTGTGATGTGATCTTAATTTCACTATCAATCCTACTAACATTCTCTTTTAAAATTGATTCTGTAAGGCATGGTGAGGAGTTCAAAGATTTAGTAGTTGATACAGGAATGTTAGTAAAAAAAATCACAAATGCAGCAGTAACCTCAGCATTTGAAGTGATAAAATTAATTGTTTATACTTAAATAAAATTCATTATCACGGTATTGATTATTGCCAGTTTCACTGTTAATAATTTTCCAAGTGGTTATCATTGCTACTTTTAATCTTTGAATTTATAAAACGAGACTTAGCGAAATTTACAAAATTTCTTAAGTAGCTTTGAATATCCTTTAACATAATTATGAACGTGTTCACTTTTATTAAATGGATGAATGGATGGATGGATGGCTGGATGGATGGATGGATGGATGGATGGATGGATGGATGGATGGATGGATGGATGGATGGATGGATGGATGGATGGATGGATGGATGGATGGATGGATCACTATCACCTGTTATAAATTATATGATTTGAAAATTATATAATCACACTTGTGACTAATTTACAAAACCACTACGAAATATGATTACGCTAGCGCCAGACTCGTGAAAAGAACTTAGTAGTCTTTGATAAAAAGTTTGGTTTTTTCTTTGCTTTTGTTGACTAAGTTTTTGATGTGATTTATCATAAGTGAAATTGTAGTGACTAAAACCAAACATTTCAGCATATTATGATTATGATTTAAAAGCAACAAACTAGTCATGAAAACATAAACTAGTTTCTAAAACATATCATTGAGTTATTAATGAAATTTTTATTAATTGTGGAAATACCAGGTGAAATGGAATGGAAGGTTATGGCTTTTTAGAACATGAATAATACCAGATGGATTCTAGGATAGAAGTAAGAGTGATGAGGACACATCAGCAAGTCTCTTTTTGTGGTTTTGTTGTTATTTTAATCACATTCTGGCTAGCTGTAATTGACCACCCATGGAGTAAATTTATTTTTAACATTTTTTAAAAGATTGTGAAATTTTGCATCTGTTATTACATGTTATAATAATCTTAAAGAGAATTTAAAAAATAATAAGCAGAAAGTGTTAACAGACTTCACAGCCGATAGGAAGAAAAAAAACAGCGTAGACTAAACAATGTAAGTGCTTCCTATAATACATTTAAATGAGGAACACTAAAGATACCATTAGGGTATATGCAGACAGCCATTGTCATATATTTCTCCAATTACTTAGCAAGACAATGGGGGCATTAGTTCTCACATGTAGCTTCCTTATTGAATGTCAATATACTTCCATGAGAATGTACTTAGTTTTACAGGTACATAAGTACATGCTTTTTGTTGTTTTATTACCCATACTTCATATACTATATAATCAACTCGCAAATATTAAAAGTGGATTGCTAATATTATAATTTTTCATTAAATTCTAATATAACTTGTTGATTTATGTAAGGCATAATTACATTCTGTATTTTTTGTTCTGCAAGTGTATGGTTTTAATTATAAATGTCTATGCAGAAAGTGTAATTAATAATTAAAACACAAATTAATAATGTGTGTGACCGATACTACCCTTGACAGTATACCGAACATCTAAAAACACTTCCAATTACATTCTTTTGAAACACTCACGGATATTAAAATATTTTAGACGCTGCTGTTACAAGAAGAGAAAAGCAGAGAACTTATTATTAAGCCTTTATTGCCAACATAGTTCCACGTATTCATTATTAAATAGTTCAGTGTTAACATGCAATTAAATTAATTAACATTATAATTATATCAATACAATATTATTATTGTTATTATTATGCCGCAGTTATTGGGCGTCGGCGTATCCTTGTGACACAAAGGCCTCCTCCAGCTCTTTCCATTCTGCTCTTGTTTGAGTTATTCTGGGCCACAGTGGACCCGCGTTCTTTTTTATCTCATCAGACCAACGTTTTCTTTGTCTTCCTCTTTTCCTTTTTGTTTGGAATCTAGGGGTCCATTCTGTTATATCTTTCGTCTATTTATTCCTATTCTCTCTCATCATGTGGCCTACCCATCTCCACTTAAGTGTTTTGGTTTTGACTACGACATTTTCGATTTTCGTAATTTGCCTTAAATCTACAGCTCTCTTTCTGTCTCTTTTTGTGTAACCCAGCATACTCCTCTCCATGGCTCTTTGACATGTGGTCAGTTTTTGGTTTTGTTTCTGTGTGTTAGCCCAGGTCTGGCATCCATAGGTGAGAATTGGTAATATGCATGTGTTGTACACTCTCCTTTTCATAGCAATAGTATATTGTTTACCCTTTAGCACTTCTTTGAGAGACCAAAACCTTTTCCATGCATTGGCTACCCTCCTTTCTATTTCTGAATCCATATGATTGTTGAAGGCAATAAGTTGGCCTAGATATATGTAGGAATTTACATATTCTATTTCTTCCTGATCTACTGAGATGCTTATTTGGGATCTATTTGTTAAAATTTTAGTCTTTGATTTGTTTATTGTTAGGCCCACCTTTCTGCTCTCACTTGACAAATCTTGGAGCATGTTTTTAAGGCTTTCCGGGTTATCTGTTATAAGTATAATGTCATCCACAAATCTTAAATGATTCAAACGTGTTCCATTTATGTTAATCCCTATGCTGTCCCATTTCATCTTCTTCATGACTTCT